ATGTTTGAAAAAATGGTAAATACCATATCTCTTGTAATTTATCATGTACATTGTATATCACTACATAACATGGCTTTTTGTTATGCTTTACTTGTCTACCTCCGAACTCTGGAAATTTCGGCGGATTCACATGAAGAAGCGACAAAGGTTACCATAAGCATGAATTTTATCTTTACGAACATGAATTACGAAACATGCAAAGACGATATTGTGACAGCACTTCATCGTTTTTTCTTGTTCTTTCAAAACTTCCCTCATTCTTCTTTTGACGTTACATTTTGCTGTGGCTTTCCCTGAGTATCATGAAGGCAGTCGAGAGTTTAAGCTTTTCTTTAGTGCAAGTTGGAAACTCGCCAAGAAAACACATAAGAATTTCAAAATCGATATTGATATATGCTTGTGGTATATATACAGGGTGTTCCAAAAGTAAGTGCACACTTTTTGATCGTTGATAAAACTCTCTTCACAAAGTTTTTTGCTTAGCCTCAAGTAGCATTCGGTAGAGTAGGTTTCAACTTAGACTTACAGTATGGAACAATCCACTCATCGCTCTTCATTACTATAGGATTACGGTTGAACTTCCAGCATATAGCCACTGTGGAATAGGCCTTTTAAGTGTGAAAAAAAATCCCAAAAAATCTGGAAATTTGTGTTTTAAGATTTTCAGACGTGCTGACTTCACCACACACTTCTTACCAGTTTTTCGAGCATTTTGGTGGTGTAATTAATTCATCAAAAGAATTTTTTCTCACTTTCAAATTAGGTCTCGGGCTTATTTCACGCGCTTTAAGGCGATTTGGCAATGCTTCAACTGCGTATAACTCATTGTAAGGGCATTCGAACGTTTCTGACGAACATTGAAAAAGTTGTTACCGAAAATCTGAATTAACTTACGAAAGAAGCCGTACATTAATGTGCAAACCTCTTGAAATAGCGACTTCGATAAACCAGTACAAGAGTTTCTGGCTTGTTCGGTGTTCTTCCGAGGTAAACCATTGCATTTAATGACCTGAAAGCCTTCTCAAAGATCCTACCGTAATGCTACAGTAATGTAGAAAGATCGGAGATTTTTTCCATGCCGTAAATCTTAGTCGAATCTCGCTCTACGGAACGGCACTTCTAGCTCGGCGAAAGACATTCAAGCAAAAGAGTTATTGACGATCAAACAATGTGCACATTCCTTTGTATAGTCTGCCAGTTTTGTATGGCCTGCCAGTTGCCCTGTATATCAAAAAGATACATAGTTCGTTTTACCATTCACGTGAGGCCTCTGGCACACTTGAAGCGATCTAGCAATTTGCCAAACCTCTTCAAATCCAAAACTGACAGACTACCAAGGCCTAGCATGCATGTTATATGTGAATCGATAGAATGCCGTTTCTTTTGTACGTTCGAATGCCCTCACAATGAGCTATACGCAGTTGGAGCATTGCCAAATCGCCTGAAAGCGCGTGAAGTCAGCCCGAGACCTAATTTGAAAGTGAGAAAAAATCCTTTTGATAAGTTTTGAAGTTTTTCCTCAAGAATGACAAAACTTTACATGAAATGATTCTGTTTCGAAGGAACCACAAAGGTTGCAGAAATATTTCTTGACAACAGCCAATCAGCAGAAATCTCTAACGATAAGTTAGACAGCATAGAAAATAAGATCATAATGGAAACCAGTGTCAGATTTTTCAGTTTAAAACTTGAAAAAAAAACTATTCTGATTACACCTATTTATCAGCACCATTGTCGGCTGCTAGAAAATGCATGGTTTTCCTCTCTTTGAAATTTATCGAACAAAGCGATATTTGTGAGACTAAAGGAGGTCATGAATTTGCAAAATTCTGGTGGATTCAATGCCTGCTGAACCTGTTGGTAAACGAAGACATTGAAAACTTTTTCTGCGAATTTTAGCTCTATGTGCCTCAACTGCAGCAAACATAAACTACCAAAATTTCGCAGGCTATTTCTCTATTTTTTAGCGTCCCTAACTCCAAAGACTGCAGCTCAGCGCTGAGCTGAGATGAGTAAAGAGGGGATGTTGATTCGCAAAGTCTCGGTTTTCTTGTTGATGTTGTTGTCCATCGATTGCCTCGCACACTTCCCGCGCTAGGGATAGAACCATTTTTTTCAACACAAAAAAAAGTTGCACTGGAATGTTCGAAACTCGTAAAACTTTGCAATGAGGCGCTCGTTCATAATATACTCGCTCACCAACAGTAGTTACTGTTTTACAAATCATCACCATTTGCACAGTTTTTGATTCTTCTGCCAATGTTGATCTGAGTAGTTTTTGTAGCATTCTATAAATGCAGTCTGTGTATCATCTCATTTTATGTATTTTTAAGAAAAATTTTATAACTTTCTTTAAGGTTTCTGTAAAACAACGCATTTCTGTGACTGATTTTGAGAGGTGAAGGCGGGGGCAAAAATAGGTTCACCATAGTCTTTGAGATTGTTCTACATAAGTTATCAGTTATGCAGCTGACTTGACTTCTAATTTTGTTAGTGATTTTATGAATTCTGTATAAACAGAATTCGCAGAAAATCTCAAACGCATTGCAGCCTCGCCTAATTTTTTTTTTTGATTCTATCAAAGCTTGCCAATTCGAACAGCGTCTCAAAATACATCTGGGACCACTACTGGCAAAATCCCTTCCACAATCTAGAAATGAAAGGCACTGGTTGAACAAACCAGCATTGCAGCTTTTTATCATGGGCAAAATAATAATCGAGAAGTCAATTATACGCGTAACCTGTTTTGTGTAGATTCAAATTAGCCTGTTCATAATTTGCAACTGCAATATATCCATTCAATAGCTCTCATCTTCTGTAGGAAGTTCCACATAGAAAAGCCTTCGTTTATTTCTCCAACACTCTTGTAAGTTGATATGAAGGGCATCAGCACACTCACAAATGAAGGTGATATGGGTGTGAGCATAGTGTCATTCATTCTTTGAGAGACACGAGTACGCTTTGCGTAATATGTGAATTTAACAAGTTCATGAGGCATTCTAACGCGTTTACCATGATTTACTATAATTCATGAAAGAACATGTAGCTCTCAAAGCAAGTTCGAACATGTTCTTTTGCAAATTCTAGTTTTAATTTACCCAACCGCGTTGAAACGCGCTTATGAACTTGTTGGTCAGAAGTATCAGAGTGAATGATAACCAGGGTAAAGCGGGGGGTGCGGCACGCCGCAGAGGGGGGGTCGTATTGAGGAGTCAAAAGGGGAGGGGGTCGTAGTTAGGTGATCTGATTATAGCGATAACATGATATTCGTATCATATCCATAATTAGCACGTCAATTAACCCCTGTAGACAAAGTGTGAGCGAATTCTGAAGATTCAAGATACTAGGCTACCTAAGTGAAATGGTCAAATTCCAACATGGTTAACTTTGTTTTAAAGGTGAATTAGCTATCCGTTTTTGCACTCAAGACAAAGCACTACTCCTTCTTTGTCCACCTCAGGAATCCCGCTTCAGAAGACCTCCAAACTGTGGAATTAGAAGCCAACCAAAATCTCATTTTTCCCATTTTTCGCTTTTGATGGCTGTGCTTTCACCAAATATTACTCAGAGCTAAGAAGACGAATCAGGCTCAAAACATCCCTATGAAATCTACGAGGTTTAGGCTATCGATTCATATAAATATTGCCCGCTAAAAATGTTTTTTTGATATAGTTAATGGCCTGCGGCACCCCTGCGGCACCCCTGCGGCAGCCGCAGGTTTTGAGGGGGGTGCCGCAGGCCATTAACTATATCAAAAAAACATTTTATAGTTAATGGCCTGCGGCACCCCCCCCCCCTCAAAACCTGCGGCACCCCTGTGGCAGCCGCAGGTTTTGAGGGGGGGGGGGGTGCCGCAGGCCATTAACTATATCAAAAAAACATTTTCAGCGGACAATATTTATATGAATCGATAGCCTAAACCTCGTAGATTCCATAGGGATGTTTTGAGCCTGATTCGTCTTCTTAGCTCTGAGTAATATTTGGTGAAAGCACAGCCATCAAAAGCGAAAAATGGGAAAAATGAGATTTTGGTTGGCTTCTAATTCCACAGTTTGGAGGTCTTCTGAAGCGGGATTCCTGAGGTGGACAAAGAAGGAGTAGTGCTTTGTCTTGAGTGCAAAAACGGATAGCTAATTCACCTTTAAAACAAAGTTAACCATGTTGGAATTTGACCATTTCACTTAGGTAGCCTAGTATCTTGAATCTTCAGAATTCGCTCACACTTTGTCTACAGGGGGTATTTGACATGCTAATTATGGATATGTTGTCCATTATGTTTGACAGAGCCTTCAGGTAATACTATCTTAAGTGTATAGTTTAGGAGGGGGGTCTTATTAAGACAGCAATCAGGGGGGGGGGGTCGTATCCGACGGTCAAGTGCCGCACCCCCCGCTTTACCCTGATGATAACTACAGATGACTGCCCACACAATCCAAGAAGTGTTGTTTCCCCCAATTAGTTTTTTTGAATATGCAAACATACAAAGATAATAGTGTACAGATCCTTGCATTCTTTGGAGCGAACTGGATCTTTTCACACTTACTCCAATGAGATGATTCACAAGCTTCTGGCATTCATAGGTTTCCTGCATAAATCACTAAAATGGGGCTGTTCGAAGAGTGTATGAAGAGATGAGGTTTTGGTAAAAACCAAAGGTCGAAACGTTCCTCAATCTTACAATGTAAAAATTCGTAAAGAGAAACACAGCCATTCTCGTGTGATCGAGCGCTAGTAGTTCATTCTTTGGACGCATCTTCACTAACTCAACCACGCAGAATTTGTAGACACAGATTTGAACCTGTTTGAATCCGATAATACTCAAGTAAAAAATTGCACTTTCCACTTAATACCCGTCGAGAATAAGCCGAAACTGTCACAAGTTCCGGGAGTAGTTATTCATCACTTTTTTCTCTTCTCAATCCACGCCTCATCCAGCTACGTAATTGCACGCGCAGCGCGCAAATTCAAATTCCGAGATAATTGACAAGACAGCTGTTTGCCCACGTTTTTCGATTGAGTAGGTTCTGGAGCTATTGTAGGAGTTTTTCTAGTATGGGAGTGGCAAAGAAATCTCAGGTTGACTAAGGTATCAATCAATAAGTCATGAACTTGTCGAAGCTGGTTGTGTATCAGGTTTTCACGCGTCGGGTTCACGTGTCGCTTTTCAATTTTGTCTGCTGCTGATCCGCTATTCATTCGAAATCGAATCCACTTTATTGCATGTTGCGGCTTGGTGCCCGGCCCAGCATGGAAGTCGACACCGACAGCGGCCATCCAACTCCAAGAGACGACGAAAATTCAGCGGTGAGTGAAAAATTAGGATCTCAAATGTCTTAACAGTCTCTTATCTAAGTGAATAGTGCCGACTTTGTGACTCGCACCAAACATACAACGTCATCATACGTTGCATTGTACCATATCATCGCCCCACTCATGATCACGGGTAGTTATCTTTTTTGGTTTGTTAGCTGATTTGGGAGCGATGTGAGGGGTGGCAGGAAAGTTTTGAAAGTTTTTTTTTCGACCTTACATCTTTTTTGATGATTCTGTGAACAACCGAACGCAATGCCGTTATTGAATCAGGTTTACAATTTATCCACGTGAGATAACGTTTACTAGCCTTATACGCTCCTTTTTTGAGTCTTCTTCAGAAAGCATGCTCTTTGTTGAGGTGCTTTTTGATCTTTTCAAAATTTGAAATTCCTTCAGCATCTTTTATCCACGCTGGGATCCCTCTATCCAGTTGTTTAATTTCACTTCGAGGATATGAGGCACCGTATCGTTGTAGTTGTTTCTACTTTTTTTTTTGCCCAGTGGCGCTCTTTCCACAGCCTTTGAACTCACTTTTCGACCCAAACTTCGAATTAGACAAGATATTGAGAAGCATGTTATCTTTAGCAAGCTTCTTTGGCAAATCCTTCATCTATGGGAGTCTAAGTTGTGGTGCATGCATACTCGTTATCTGATAGATTTCGTGCGCTAGGTAATAAACACTTTGCTAATTTAGGAAGAGAGCAGTGAAAGCTATCAATACTTTTCTCCTCAAGCTGCTTCGACACCCATCGCACAACACGTACGGAAGTCCCTTCGTGCTAGAAACAATAGCTTTTTCGAGTGAGTCTCTTGCTTTCCCATTATTATTTTGATGGAGTAGGGGCTGCATGTTGACTTTTTGTTGCATATTTTTAAGCTTGTCTCAGCATTGGTTTTTTTGAAAATATGATTCACTGATAAGAAAAGAGCAGTCGGACAAAGCTCGTCCGCCATGACCCGTCTTTTCCATCATTTTTAGGACCAACACTCCTCTGTTATCGAACTGTGGAATGTCATACAATATTCGTTGCAGCTCCAGCAGCATATGTTAATTCACGTGGTTACAGCTTATGAGAGCGCGCGCTCCGGTATTCCTTAGGCCACCAAATGACTTCTAGCAAATCCGAGTACATAACGTGACATTCGAAAGCGTTGCAAGTGAGAATCACATAGTAGTGCATACATTCAATCGCGCTCCTCTACTGAGCTTGTCCACGTTCCTGCTAATCAATATGTCGCTGAACATAGAAATTCTCCACATCATTGCCCGATTCATAGGACAGAAACAATTTCTTTTTTTGTTTACCAGCTGATTAGAGGGCGATGATAGGGAATGATAAGAAAGTTTTACGACCTTTGTTTGATGATTCTATGAAGAATTGTCTCACCTCTATGCAATATCATTATTATTCCAGAGCGTCCGAGAAGCAAAACGGCATCGATACTGATGGTGCCGAGGTTTTCGGTATGTTGTTTGTTTCTCGCATAGTTTTCATTGTTTGTGTGTTTCTTCACGGACTCGTAGCGCTGTGCAAAAGAAGCTTTTTCATTTCGCTTTTGTTATGTACGTTAACTTCCCAGATTTGGTCACTTCTTTGCTAAAGTTGGCTCAGCAAGGGCTCTACTCTGACATTGTCAAGCTTATATTTTCAGTGAAGACCATAGAACAACTAATTCATTCTACTGAGAAAAATCGGCGTCTAACGAAAGAGAATGAGCGATTTCTCAATGAAAGTGCAGCATGGTACGAAGAAAAATCATTTCTGGAAAGAAAGGTATCGTCTCTTCAATTTGAGCACTCTATTTTCTTTTTCAAACATGTATGTCGTCTCTTTGACTAATCTGTTATTCTCGATAACAAGTATGATATAAAACTCCTCTTATCACTGAGCTTTTTAACGAGTTATTGTTATTGTTACAGATAAAAGAGAGTGAAGCCGATGCTGAATCTCTTCGAAACGATCTCCAGGTAATTCGCTCGGCCCAAGTTCTATTTCAAAAACTTGTGTTTTGTAGGAGAAAGAAAACAGAATTGAAGCGTTGGAGAAACAAGTAGCTGAGTTACTTCAAAGTATATCTGAACATCCTGCAGAGGAAGCTTCTGAGGCAGCTGTTGAGCTAATTGTCGACAGAAAGGTCCTCCTGGTTTGTTTTTTCTTCTTCCATGAAGTCCGTGTGAAACATGGCTAGCCAGCAAGTTATCATGCTCATTTGCATCGAATTGTATTCTCTGGCGTGAATGCTCTTTGATCACTGTCGTCTCTAGGAAGAAGGGACTCAGTGTCGAGCAGATCAGCGAGACGCAGAAACACAAGCGGACGTTAGCAATGAGGTCAGAAAAGAGCTTCAATCATTGTATAGTTTTTCATGTTTCAATTTTTTGAAGGATTATGCGCAGATGAAAGATCGTGTAGAAGCACTGGATGCTGAAAATCGGGAACTTCATCATAAATTAGAGAATTTACAGTCTGTTGTGGATGAGGTGACAAGCTTACGAAAAGTGAGTGGTAGATTTATTTGTTATCGCATCCGTACGCAGGCGATCAAAATGCCATGTTGTCTCGAGTGAACGTTAACGAATCTCAGGATGAAGAGCAATGGCGAGAGAAGTGTTCGTTCCTTGAAGCGGAGAACAATGAGGTTCGAAAAGAGGAGAAAGAACTACTGAAGGAAATTGAAGAAAAGAAGACGGAGCTAATTAAACTGAAGACACAGGTGAGTTCTACTAACACATTATGCTTGCTTCCTTGGAAATGACACATTCAGAACGAGTCTCTAACCACTGAGGTGGATTGCCTTCGAGCGCAAGCAAAAAATTTTGAGGAAATGCGCATGAGAAACCACGATTTGGAACAACTACAGTCAGAAAATGAACGATTGCTGGTAGAGCACAAAGTGCAAATCGCTGAATTGAGGTCTTGCGTTGCATCATACGAGCAGACGATAAAATCGCTGAGGGTAATCATAGTTAGTTTGGCTCCAGGGGCACAATCTTAAGCGGTAAATTCAGGACTCTGAAAAAGAAATGAAGGAGCGGATTGATGAGAAACTTGCTGAAGCCAAGAAATTGGACGACGAATGCCGGGTAGGTATTCCAGCTGATCATGGTGTGGGTTCGTGCACTGCGTTTTTCTTCAGACATTACGGAATGTAGGCGATAAGCTTAGCGAAGAAAGTGTGTTTGCCACTCTACTCAACAATGAACTGAAACTAAAACTGACGCAAGCTTATAATGAGATAGATGAGCTCAAAGCTTCAATAGACAAAGAGAGAGATGCACGAAAAGCAGAAGTGCAGTCAATTTGCAGTGTAGCTGAAATTAACAAAAAGGTAAGAAGAAGTGCAAATCAGAAGTAAGCAAAATATTTTTCCATAGCTCTTGTTTTTGTTTTGATTTATGGTAACATTTTTGAATGTTTATCCACCTGTGAGAGCTGTATATTACAGCTCCAACTGTCGAATGTTCGTGTAGATGAATTGTGCATTCTAAACGAGAAGATCTCGACTGAACTCGACTACCTTCGTCAGGTATGTAAAATTGCAAAAATGCTCATCTTTTTATGCAGGTGTCTGCTTTAGAAATTGGTGAATAGCGTCAGCAAGGAAGAGATGGAGGATTTATCTGCGTCGCTTAAAAAATGCCAGCGAGATCTTGACGCTGCGATGCGGGATAAGAAGGCATTGCTGGAAAAAGAGGTAAAATTTGCTGCACCGCTTCTTTTCTGGAAATTAACTCATATTGAGCACTGTTGCAGGAACATTACGGAAAGGAGATAGCAAAAATTGAATCTTTGCGGTTTGAACTGAAAGCCCGTGATGACATGATTTGTGATCTACGCGCCTCTGAAGTCAAGCTTCATGCTGACCTGGTATGGTATTATTGCCTGTTTTTTTTTGCGGTAGAAATATTATTTACGTTTTTGAGGCTGCAAAATCTGAAGAGCTGCTCAAATTACAAAGTCAGTTCGATGATCTAAGTCGAGAATGCTGCAAAATTCGAGAAGAGTACCACTTTTTCCAGGTAACTAACATATTTTCTTACATCGAATTTGTATCTAGCTTTGTATACTCAGGAGAACGCTGAACAACAATACTGTGCCATGTTAGAGGACAAGTGTAAACAGATAGAGGCCATGTCAGTTCGGCTTGCACAACTGGAATCGTATCCGGGTAAGCCATGTTCCATTGCCTTCTTTTTTGGATGTTCCTCACTCCAAAACGTGTCCCATCTATTAGGGCAAACCCTTTCTGCCGATGGTGCACTATGCGCTCGATGCGCAGAGAAAAATGCGGAACCGGTAGATGACTGTGCAGAAGGCCATGCTCTTTACGAGTATTTGCCGACGGCACTACGTGAATTTGTAGAAAAGAGCGTAAGTCCTAACAGTACTGTTATAACAGTACTGTTATTTTTTGCAATAATTTTTGTGAAAATACCTGCAGTTCAGGACTCTGATGAAGTGAAGGCTGCAGTAGAAGAAATGCGAAATACATCTGTACCAGATTATATTAGTAAACCTAATACTAACACACTCAAGAAGGAGGGTAAGTACTATTTCAACCTCCACTATTCCCAAGCTGTGTTATTCTTTCAATGTAAGATCAGATTCCCGAGTTTTAATCTAGACGTGATCATGACGTGTTTTTTGTGACTCGCTAGAGGCACTGCAGGTCTCAAGTTTCCACTGAGACGTAAGCTTACTCTTTTAGTTGCAACATCGACCTATAATCTGGATGACACAGGGGACAAGGCTCAAGTCTCAAACCTGTCGGCAAAACTTGACGATTCATTGCCGCTGAGCCAAATCGTTGAATGTTTCGAAGGATTAGAGGACGTAAGTGGACGCTGTATTTGTGTGAAATTTGTAGAGAAACTATGGTTTCAGTATCGCCTACACATTGATTCGCCCGATCTACGTCCTGAAATGCGTCGTTTCTTTGCCTGTATAAAGTATGAACCAGACATTGAAGCTGTGAAGAGTGCGGTAGGTTATTTTTGTCATCGTAAAAACTACGCTACGTGCATAGCTAATCCGCTTACATTGCATTATTATGATAACTTATGTAGCGACGGCCAAATCTGACACAAAGCAGCGATCTTCGCAAGCAGTTTGTTTCTATTTTATGATTAAAATAATCTCCAAGAAGCCTAAGACTTCTGATTTTGTGAAAGAATTTTTTGTTGACATGCGTTTCAGGCTCGGCATCTTCTAGAAAGCTGCGATAGGCTGTTCCTCGACAATGCTAAGGAAGTGTTCAGAAAAGAAGTACAAAATATTCATGAATCTAAAGATGCACTGGAAAAGATGATTAGGTTTGTGACAGCTATATCATGTCATCAATGGATATGTTGCCTTAGAGTGCTAGTGGCAGTGGCACTGAATCGCGTATCTATGTGAACTCTTCAACGCAAGCAGAGTGGCTGTGAATTGCGCTTACTAAAGCTTTCTAACAAAGTAACTGCCCTTTGTGGTTGGTCAAGGGGCAGGCACTTGATTAAAGGTTTCGCTATCACACTGCAGTGAAATTTCACTCTTTTCCCTCTAACTTTGGGTGAACGCTGTCTCCAATTTATTGAAAGCCAGAGTGGCCTTGTCCATGCTGATTGGGCTCATTACAATACACAGATTTAGAAGGCAAGCCTTACCAACGAATCTTTTCAAATTTTTTTCTCAGTTCTGAAAGATTGCAATGGGCTATTGAAAAAGAAAATATGGAGATGCAGCTAGACCGCTTTCGCCGACATGTCGAACAAATCCCGATTCTCCATAAAGAAAAAGCTATCATGAGGTAAGTAATTGCAATTCATGAACAACAAGCCAACATCGGACAAACTTTAGGGCAGAACTGAATGCAACGAGAGTGCAGATTGAGCAGTATCGGCTAAAGTTAAAGCAAAAATGCGATGAATATGAGAGGCTAGAGCAAGAAAGAGACAGCATGGAGGCTTTAGCAAAGGAGTTCCAAAAATTAGACCAGGTTTGTAACACGCAGATTATGGAGTTGCTTCAGAAGCTGAATGAGTCGTTTAAGGATTCTCAGGAACAGATCAAAGAAGCAAACAGTGTTATTGATGAGCTTGAGAGGAAACTGAAGGATGTTAGCGCTGATCTTGAAAGGTAAGCTGTCAAAAAAATTCTTTTTCGTGACTACAGTCGGGTTCAGTCGTGCGACAACATCATGGCGATAATTGATAAGAAAAGAATGTCATTGAGTTGGTTGTTGCTTTTTTTTTGCTATAATCGTTTTTTATCTGTATATACACACATTTGTTGAGCTAAATCATAGATAAGCCCATACTTATTTTGCTTTCATGATGATTGTGCTTTATTCATTTTACGAGTGCAAACTAGTCCTTTCGGGTGCTTTATATAAACAGATTGCTTCTGTTGTTAGTGCTTGTCATCATTCCGGTTTACCGGTTTCATATTTGCAAAATATCAAAATTGTTGCAAGATGATCTTCTCTTATCAGTGAGTGCAACCTTGTGGCCACCACGGGATTTCCTTTCACAAAGTCTTGGTTTTTCTCAAATGTACTTCTCAAATTTATTATTTGGCAGGGAACGACGCGAGGTCATTATACTGAAAGATGATAACGATGCGTGTACGCTCCATATCTGCAATCTCAAAGCGAGGAACAACGACCTAATACAGAAAGGTGCATATCGCCACATGAATGTCAAAAAAGTGATTGCGACTTCACTAATCTATCCTTTTAGCCCAGGAGCTGATGTGTGCTTGTGAAAAATTGGAGAAAACGGAGAGATACAATCAGAAAACTATACAAATCGTCTGTGAAAGCTTTTGGGAGAGAGAAGAATTTGTGCAGCGACTCAAGAGGAGAAGCACAGAGAGAAAGGTGGGGCATTTGGATGGCAAACGTAAAACTCATGTCATATTTGGAAAACCCAGATTATTTTTGAAGAGCCTTTTAATCAAACTAATAAATCTTCCAATTCTGTTGATAAGTACAACTCGAGTTTAGGACTTTTTTGTTTCTAATTTACATACATAACTCCTGATGCATGTTCAGAAACTCATCGAGCGCTTTGTCGAAGAAGTGAACCAGATCATACTCTCGTTTGGAGGAAGTCCTGACTCAGTAGACGACATGCAAACTACGGTATATTTACATTCTTAATTTTCTGCAAAACCATCCATTTCGCAGAAAACGGTGACCTACATAAAAATAACCAATTCCACTATATTTGTTCATATTCTGTAAAGTCCCCTAAATCAAAGAACTCTAAGATCCGGACATGGACTTCAACCGACACGCAGGACGACAAGGATCACGAATCCCGAAAACAAACTCTTTTGGGACAGCTTGAAAAACTTGGCTCAGATCAACAATTCAGGACGGCTCAGCAGAAAATCATGCTCAGATCCAAATAGCAACCTCTTCTAAGCCATTTATGATATCCGGAATAGATTCTTACTAGTCATATTCGTGTATTGTTAACTAGCTAGAGTTATTTTTGACTTTGAAATTTACCACAGCAACTGATTCCAACTGTACGTTCTCTGTGATTTTGATCTCATTTACGTTTGTGAAATTTTATTGAATACAAACATGTACAACACGTCTTCATCCATGATAGTGAAAGATGACACATTATTGAAGATTTTTATCTAATAACGACTCGTAATAATCGATGACCATCTGAAATAAATGTTAAAAGCATGGAAATATTGAGATTTCATACTTTTACACATTCTTATACTGGAAGAATATTTGCAACTACTTTAAGGTGATTTAAAAAAAGTGCAGATAGTTTCTGCAACATAAATTTATGTATTAAAGGTAATACTAAGAATGCAAAGCAAAGAACAGATCTCCCTGGCCTCTAAGGTATGTAAAGAACCGTACTAAAGGGGATAAGATTGAGACTCAAAAAGAAAATTAGTTATGGTTCTTCCCCAGCTATTGATTTAGCGGAACAAAACACCTTTTTGAAATGTTCAACCAAAAATCCACTGTAAGGCCTTGATTTTCGTACTCCCTCATATCACCGTGGTCAGTATGGTCAAGAAAGAAAAAAAACACGAGAATAGAATACCTGAGGTGCATAATGTCGCAGGATACGGGTTGGCACTAACTCTACTCCCTTCTTGCGATCTTTCATCGCATCCGAATATACGACTAGCATACGCAGTTCCGAGGATTTGTTATTGAGACCAAGGATACGAGAGATTTTGCGTCCTTCACAAATACCATACTTCTTGTCATCGACTACTAAAAATGGAGAATTGAGGTCATACTACGGTCTGTGCCCCGCAGTTCCTCTCAATTTACCACCGCTTCACACACCCCTCGCTCCTTTTCAAGCCTCTTAAATCTTGAAGGCAAATCTGGATATACGGGGATATGTGGGATCAATTTTGGAATCCTAACTAAGACACTCCCAAACGGTAGGTCAAGGTAATGTGCTCACGGCTGAGATATTCACCTCCGAACCGGGCCCAGGATTATATTAACCGACTTGCCCCATGTTCGCATGGTTTCATAGGCACCCGCCATACTTGATCCTGTTGATCCACTTGATCCGCTTCGCGCAAAACGCGCGTCACTGATTTGTCATTTGGCGTCGCGTACAACGAATTTGCGTAACCATATAAGATTTCTTTCTACTTAAGCGGCGCCAAATGACAAACTGCTCTGTGCGCACGTTTTGCACGAAGCGGATTAAACGGATCAAGCGGATCAAGTATGGCGGGTGCCATACCACGACTCATCAGTTCTGCGTGGGTCCCGCGCGAAAGCATGCAAGCAATTGCAAGTCGTCCAATACAATCCTAGGGTCCAGGTTGGAAGTGGATATCACAGCCGTGAGTGAATTACTCGCGCTGCTGAGCAATGTCTTAGTTAGGGCCCCAAGATTACTTCACACCTGAGATCCCCATAGGTCTAGATCTACGTGGACGCTGCCTTCAATACTTCTGCGCGAAGCGCCAAAAGCAGCAGATGGGGTGCGTTGCGTTTGATAGTATCAACTTGATACCCACGGGGACGGACACAGAGTGGTTGATGGTTCTGAACAAAACATACATGCTTTGCGTTTTGTTTTGGGACGAGTAGCAGTACTTTCAGAAGTGCCATCGTCAAACAGATCGTCATCATCGTCCTAAAGTGCTGTACGTCAACGAAGTCAAAATGAGGCGATATCCAAAATCTCACGATCCGCACAGAAATGACATCTTTGTCTTCGTCCTCTTTCTCACGACTACAATCTATTTTTATGATACAAGACGAAAGTGTATACAATAAACTTACTAACATCTTTCGTTTTCGTGTTTTTGACGACTTCTCCGCTGTGTTTTTCTGCGATTTTTCAAATTCTTCAATCAACCCCGCGCAATCCTAAAGTGTACACAGATCCGAATGGACCGGCACAGCCACTGAACCTACGCATTGTGCTGCTGGTTCCCACGTGTCGTCGTCTGAATCATCATATCCCTTCCATTTGATAAGATATTCCACTACACCTGAATCAAAAGATCTATCAGTACTCTCTAGCAATGGTCAATAATACGAGACTGTTAAAAAATGACCACTTTTTTACTAATAAGAAAATAAGATGATGTTTGCATTCTGAAGTGATTCATCAAAAATTTGCCATCAAGAATCGAAAACCCACCTTTACGAATGCGTTTTCCTAGAATTTTTTCCACAATATACTCTTCACCGCTTTCACTGCTCCCTGAAGAAAACTTATTGAGTGATAAGAGGGTAAACCTAACAGACTACAGATGACTATCTCAACGAGACTGCACTTCTTATTGACCACTTTCTTCGGACATTTTGTAGAAAGAACGAATTAGTGCGGATGTCAACAGCAAATTTTTAAGAATCTGTATCCTACTGCCTGTTAGACTGAGCAATCTTTCCTCTAGTAACCATACTTATGAAGGCACTAATCGAGTTAAGGATAATAAGCAGGAAGTAGGGCTACACATTCCGAATACATCCGTTTACACAGGAGGCTTTTCATGGATTATCTTTACTAAAATCGCGCTCTCATGCCTTTATCCTTCGTGCGGAAAGAGAGCTAAAATCCGGGAATTACTATTAAAAACAATAAAAATCGAAGTTGAGCCAACAGCCAACACTACACATCGCTGCTTTTGGCATAGCAGAACCAGCGCTGCTCTATCCGTAATATGTAAAGCCGTAGATACAAATATTACGGCTCACCCTCTTCGCTATCTTTGTCGCTCATTGAGGTAGTTGGTCTCTGGAACTAGCTAGTTGAGAAGCAGACTTCGTAAATAAGGAAGAGGAGCAAATGTGGCTGCGATATGACTGAAATTATTAAAATCATAATACAGTAAAGCATAGCGTGCGTTTTCCGTACGCGTGGCGAATAGTCTAAAACAGAAGTGCACTTTGCCAAACTTCAACAACCCAATAGATTTCACTTAATTCATAGCGCACTCACAAAAGACCAGTATGAACTGTGTTGAGCGAAGTTATGGAAAATGATGAATTTCATCTAACCAGTAATCTGTAAGAGTTTCAAATTATTTACTTCCGCGCATCATTTTCAAAGTCTTGCGGACATCGTTATCTTTTTCACGCCTAGCCCTTGGGTTACGACACATGCTATAATATCTGCTGCATGACGAAGGCGGTTGCCCAAATAGGTTGAAGGCTGTCGCGCACGCGGCGCGCGGGCAATTGTCAACCACCGGGCGCGCGTACGCTCGGTCAGCGCGCGCGCAGCTCCAGTGGATGACCGCTGACCGAGCGTGTGCGCGCCCGGTGGTTGACAATTGCCCGCGCGCCGCGTGCGCAACAGCCTTCAACCTATTTGGGCAACCGCCTTCGTCATGCAGCAGATATTACTTGATCCGCTTAATTTACATGATCTGCTTCGTCACTGGTTAATTCAGTGAAAACAGACAATCCCGCAAAAAGTTTGAGAAGCACCCCAAAAATTTTTTTGGAGTACGTACCTTCATGAAAAAATTTTTTTTGCCGCCCCCCCCCCCCCCGGTCCGAAATCCTGCGACCGCCACTGCTAGGTCTGTATAACTCAAGCTTTACTCGATCGTAATTCTAGAAATAAATTCATCGCAAGTGTTGGGGTTCATTTTGTGAAAATGCGACTGCTGGTGTCTTCGTAAATATTTCTATCAATTTTGCACCAAACACCGCCAAACTAAGCCCATGGTACAGTCAAGCAGATTTTCCGCTTAATATGCACTAAATGCTGTAAAATCTGCGCGTTAGGTAGGTGCCAGAGTAAGCGAATATTTTGTTCAGGTTGGGGTCCCGCGCAGAATCGACGTCACTTGGATTGACGCCAGCATGGTGAGTGGCGTCAACTCTGCGCGGGACCCCAACTTGAACAAAATATTCGCTTACTCTGGCACCTACCTTATTTAGCAAGTAGCCACGCCAGTAATGCCAACATTTTGCACGCGCAAATGGCCAGCGTCACAGGCGCAGCCGTTTCTTTACGCGCGAATTTTGCCGCATTTCACCTTGAGTGCAAGCACACTATATTAAGCGGAAAATCTACTCGACTGTAGCTTAAGACAGCAATTGACAAGCTAGTGTATCTATCTGGTAATCTCGAAAGACTCTCTAAGCACTGAATTGAGTTGTTGAACGGTGAAGCAGAAAGCACCTCTTGACTTTCTTTTTGATAACACGAATCAACAGAACTCATGGTCTGCCGAAAAGTAACGCAGCATCTTGCTGCCGTTAATGGCATAAGAAAGGAACGAATTGTTGTTTGTTTCTGAAGATAGACTCCGGGAAGTTTGCAGCAAAATACACAGTAATCAGACATTGTAACATAAAGTTGATATGATACCATGAAGACCCAAACATTAAGACATTAAGGAGAGGTAGTGAAGACCGGGACACTCTTTAGTTAAGAAATGAGAACGAAAACTAAGCAACCATATTTATACCATGTATTATTTTACCCAATGCATATGATGCCTGAAGGATATGAGGACACAACACTGATAGATATCATGATGAGGCGACTACTAATATTTGGCAGATAGAGAGCGAGCAATGACTGTGAAAGATACAGATTACGAGATCACAGAGGGAATTGGAAATCATAGAGGGGTTGATCATGGCGAATCATCGAGTCGTTCATGATGTCGGTGTTCCTCGCTGACTGCAGCTGTTTCGAGAAGTTTGAGATGTCAGTTCTCATTGTCGCTATGCCGAGAACGATACGCTCAAACTCGAGCTAAAATTGATATTACTATAGGTAGCTACCCAAGATAACACTGCCGCAACTTCCTGACGCTAGTGAAGCAGTTACGTACCCTTCCTTTGTGGGATAGGAGCCATGCGATCTCGTGGCTAACTCCGTTCTTGATTTGATCGACCTAAAAAGTATTGATTCCCTTAGCAAGCACCAAACAGCGAGAACTGCGCGGGATGTCTACGAAGGGGCGAGAACTGCGCGGGATGTCTACGAAGGGGCACAAAGAAGTTGAACGTTCTTTTTTTGCTTGCTGTTGAGCGATTGCTGAGTCGCAATGTGCCACAAAGGTAGCTAACAATCTGCCAAAAATCAACATGAAACTGTACAAAACACTACTCATCTCTCCTCATTCTCCGCAAGTGGCAGTGCAATAAAGACTTACAAGTAGCTGTAGATCAGTTTCTACAGCGCGAAGACCAAGAATCAACGCTTGCAGTTCATTGATAGCATGGACCGTTGGAGGACTTCGTTTACGTCGTTCAAAGTCTCGAGTGTGATTCTCGGGCCACTTAACTATCATGTACGAAGAAGCTAAGCCTTTGCGTATTGCTCACCAGAAAATCGAAAACGTCAGCGGCATCGCTCGGCAGTAGACTGGGAATCTCTGTCGCAGCGACCTGTTGTGCTGCGAAGGGGTTTGCTAAAAGATAGAAAATCTTGCTTCTTTTGATTAGTAGGAATACTCTGCTCTTAATTACATGATGGATACTCCTCTTGTGTGCACAACTACTGATCAAAAATCATGCTAAAGCTAGTAAGACTAAAATGTCACTGGACAAAATCCTATCAAATGTCCCACTGGGAGAAATATACCAATGTACAATTTTGTTACATCTACCAGAATTACTCACCTGCAGCTCTTGCCTCACTCCATCCGGTAGGAACAACCTTTTTGTTCATAGGTTTTGGAAAAGGAAAAGGCCATTCATCAGCAGAATCTCCGCGTTCACAACCCTCAAAAATTCTTCTCATAAAGTGATACTCAGTATACAAGCATTTATACGAGCATGGAGTAATCGCTACAGCGATCACGAAGCAATCATAGAAAGGGTCAGATGCTGGTGGGATCGCTCAGACTGGAAGTTCTTTTGAAATGGGGCTAATGAAAATTTCTTCAATATTCCTCATGGGTACAGATAAGTGTTTGAAACTAACAAAGTAACACGGAATCAAGATGGCTAGGCAGGAATGGCTCATGAGCATGCTGCGTCAACGTTTCGTAAACAGCGGTGGAGTCTCAGAGTTTATTTTCTGGGGGAGGGGGCGGGGAGAGGAGAGGCGCAACAAAAGACTTTTGAGATGATTTTGAAAAATCTCGCTAATTTAGAAGCCCGGACTTTCAAAAACAGGCAATTTTTCTTGCTCCAAAAGTGAAGGTGAAGTCTGACCTCAACAAAGCAAACATTAAAAAAAATTTCCAAGAAAAGGGAAGAAAGACCAAAAAAATTACACTTCATGGTTTTTTCATTTATAGCACTTCTAAGGGCCGCATGCACTAACATTTCCGCTGGGGAGGGAATCGCAGCTTCAGAAGAAAGCTTCATATCCTGAAGCTCCGGATATCTGGATTTCACGCTGTCTACCTGTCCGTAAGTACTCCCACCATCCTTCATATGAACATATTGAACAGAAGCAGAAGCTGTACAAGCCGCATTTCCCAGCTTTTTGTAGGATCCCCTGATGATTCCTGGGGGACGAACATCTATTCTTCAAAGTCATTTTTCTTTCTCCGAAGTTAACGAAAACCTTCCAAGGTTATACTGAACATCTAACACAACAGTGCTAAGCATGTTGCTGATGAGAACAAATGAATTTTTGAAAAATCGAATTTTTCGGTATACCCCAAATTTCGACCTGTGGATCATCGAAAATTTCATGACTTCAAAACATCATTTGTTCTTATCAGCAACATGCTTAGCACTGTTGGGTTAGCTAATCTGCACAACTTTGGAAGTTTTTCGTCAACTTCGTAGAAAGAAAAATGACTTTGAAGAAAAGCGCTGGGGATCATCAGGGATCATACAAAAGCTGGAAAATGCGGTTCGTACAGCTTCTCGCTCCCCTTCAACATGTTCATAGTGAAGGGTAGTAGGAAAACTTACGGATAGGTACACAACGTGAAATCCAAGTATCTGGAGTTTTGAAATATGAAACTTTCTTTTAAGCTGCGATCCCCTCCCCGCGGCCATGTTAGTGCATGCGGCCCTAAGATTTTCACGACCCATCCTCGGCGAGAGAGTGGTCCCCGCCTTCTCGGGATCTTATCCCCTTTTCAATTAGAGCTTTCCGACGCCTTATGCATATTAACTTTAGAGGCAGCGTCCCACCAGACTGGGGGTACCTGGCTCTCGTAATGATGTAATAGTAGACCCCTACCTAAGCGATGACTGAAGTTCGGAGCGAAAAAGGGGGTCTACCAAGCCTGAAATTTGCTCCGAAAGTGGGCCGAATCTTACGGTAGGGTCGGGCGAGTGCGAGGTGCACGCAAGGTAGAGACGCAGAGTCGCTGCGGGTCCCTGCACTCATAATGTGTGCGCTATACGCACTCTGGCCCTGCAAATCTTATTGCCGTGTGGGCGGCATTCGGCCCTACCGTAAGATTCGGCCCATTTTCGGAGCAAATTTCAGGCTTGGTAGACCTCCCTTTTCGCTCCGAACTTCACTCATCGCTTAGGTAGGGGATCTACTATCAAATCATTACGAGAGCCAGATACCCCCAGTCTGGTGGGACGCTGCCTTTAAGCGCATTTTGCTGGATACAAATGGCACAGCCTCACGTATCAGTACAATACAATATCAGTACTACCGCCCAAGATTAATCAAAATGTCGAAGAATCACCGAACTCTCGGTTCAAACTGCACAGATTATGAGATCAAGGGCACCGTTCAACTCAGCTCGCAAGATGCATTTTCAACAAATGAAAGTGCCCGTTTCGATAAGTAGGCGGTCAGATGTCAAAATTGGTTGGACTTTTGCGTACGGTTTTTACGGTAGGTTACTCACTAGTGACCTACCGTAATCTAAAATAAAAAAGTTTTGTGATATTTGACCTCGTAGTGTGTCTAAACAGGCACCGCTATACATCAGGGCCGGTGTAATCTCCCAACCTGGCGGCAGTCAACAGCAGGTCGGGGCATCTTGACGTGAGGTCGGCAAATACTAAGATTTCGCATTTAGGACGTCTAAAGCCTTTTCACAAAAAATTCTGCCACCGCAACTCTATAAAAACCTGTATCGAGATATGAGAGTTCACCCCTCCCCCCCCCCCCCTCACCCCCCTCCCTCCCCCTATAGAAAGATATCGAAAGGAGCAAGAGGTGCCAAGCCGTTCCTCGAACTCGCTAACCTTCCGGCATCTCGTCGAAATTTTAGCGCTGAGAGCTACCGGCAGGTTAGCGAGTTTGAGGAACAGCGTGCTCTTTTGAGAGAGCAAGATGGCATCTCGACTGCCGCTACCACGTCGAGGTGCTGGCATCTTGCTGACGGCTTCTATGAAATTGCGTGATATGCAATCACCCACTCCAAAACTTCTTTCGTTGAAATGGTCGAATTTTTCATCATTTTGGTTTTTTCTATTCAACTCATTGTCTTGTATGCAGTTAAATCTATTTCAATTGCTTGGTCGCAATCAGCACCGCCGCAGTCTTGCGTCTCCTCCAAATCTTGTCCTTGTCCATTTCTGTGCCTTTGTGCATGTCGATCAGCTGTTTTGCAAAGTCCAAAGTATACCACACACAGCCACACACGCAGGCACCACTTTCTTCAGCAGTTTTTGCAATGGCGTAGTATGTAACTTGTTGGACGGCAATTGGAGGGCGCGCCCGCGCTTGAGGTCACTGCAAGGAGGTTCGAGCGCGCACAATGCTAAAGTTTTGCGGCGGTATGCCTGTGGTCAGTCTGCGGATTCAAGCCAGTTGTCTTCTCGATGTGCTTGCCGGCATCTCTGATGCCACCAGGAGAGTAGATTATTACCGGTAATATGTAGCTTATGTCGGGACGGCGCGCCCGCTCTTGAGGTCAATGCAAGGAGGTTCGAGCGCGCACGATGCTAAAGTTTTGCGGCGGTATGCCTGTAGTCAGTCTGCGAATTCAAGCCAAAGTCTTCTCAATGTGTTCGCCGGCATCTCTGATGCCACCAGGAGGGGAGATTACTGCCGGCCCAGAAGATGCGCCTCACAAAACTGAGTCGAACGATGCTTAGGGAATCAATTCGTCCACATTAAAGCAATATATGAATGGAATTAAAAATGTACACATTTAGGATATACAAAGGCGAAACTAAGCTGAGACCGTTTAAGCACTGTGTATTCAAGCCAAAACTGCAATCATTTACAGTGGGATTCTGAGAAATTATAGGACTTGTACAAAATTTGAAAACTTCGTTGAAAGTCTAGAATTACTTATAGATCAACTTTTAGCATTACACTACACTCCCAACATCATTTCTGACGCCATGATCAAATGTTTGATTGAAAACAAATGTATGTCATATAAGTATTTATACTCGCCGTCAATCCCTAAGTTACATTTGCAATGTGGGGTGGGGTGGTGCGGCCGCATCGCTTTGGGCTTGCGCCACGTTGCGAGCGTATCGCTTAAACGTGATGTGGCCGAAAGCGATGCGGCCGCACCACACCACTCCACATTGCAAATGTAACTTAGGGATTGACGGCGAGGGTACATCTACAACGTTCAAAAACACTAAAACCTTTGCTAGAATGCTCACAAAATATTTTTTAATCTATTTGCTCTACCCCTCATGTATAAATACCCCCCCCCCCCCTAGACCTATCTTTCTCATAGCAAAAGAGAACACCGAAGCGAGATTTGAACCTCACTCTCCTGACTGTGAAACCCACCTACTATCCTCTACACTACGGCTGACATGTTCGATAATGCACTCTAGTTGTTGGCGAGGCAACACCAAGAGACAACGCATTCAAAGTACCGCGGAAGTTCTGGCAGGCCAAAGTGCTGCGGAACCTCTGGCATTTTCGGAATTTCCGCAGGATTTTGAAGAAGGTTTTGCGGAAGTTCCGGTTTTCAACCAGTTTGGCATGAAAATCCCGCGGAAGTTCCGAATTTTCAACGTTTCCATTTTTGCATTAATGAACAAAGTCCTGCGGAACTTCTGCAAATTTGGCTTGTCCCGCGGAAGTTCCGGTGATTTGTCTGAGTTACTATTTATAGAAGGACTAGCGGATTTTCAACTTATTTACCAACAAGCGATTGGCGAAATCGGTTTTGTACCTTGTTCGAAAATGAGTTTTTTGTTCGTGCATCAAGAATGTTGGAAAAACTACCTAAAGATAGCCTGTCAAAGCACATTATTCAAACGTGCAATAAGTGAAACTCGCTTCTCAGTCGCTAAGCTCGTTCATGCTCTTTTCTGCAAGCCGTCTGCACTTCTGACTCTCAATCAGCATATATTTTCCAAGTTCTACTTTTTCACTCTACTTTTTTCTCTGCTTTGCGAGACCTGTTATTCTACTAACTTGAACTAAATCATGGAGTTTTGAACCCAGCCTAGCAGACAACTTATGACTAGTTCGATACAGCTTGCTAACTTTAACTGACGCTTGCTCAATTTGCAAGCTTCCTAATTATCCTTGGAGCTCAGGGCCCTCCCCAGCAATAAACAAAAACAAAAAAAACAACAAAACAAGCCGTGTTGCCAGTAAACCTGCTAGCCGAACTTCCAGTTTGCCCTTTATGAATATATTTGGTTGCCTCGAAAGTTTTGTCCGTTTTTTCATCGCTCACTGAAACTCACAGAACACCATTCCATGGATGACTTGGGTACCATTCAATTCAGATTTTCATCCTCTTTCTTACAGCTATATTTTTGCTCTCTGATCAACCCTGTATTTGCGATGTAATCGCCATGTCTTTTTGAACAGCTCAGCAGTAACGCCAAATCTTTCGTGAATTTTAAGAATTTCTATCCTGATGTTTTCGAAAAGCGCTGGTAACTGTTATGTAGAAAAACCTTTGTCTGTATCATGTTCTTTTAGATTACATAGACCACGTTTACCAAGTCCGTTATAATTATTTATTTGGGAAAAACCGCGGCTTCTTGATCACATTAACGTAAAAGTACCGAATGCTTCGAAAAGCTGCTTTTTCAAAGCAAATCAAATTTGGTTATGCTGCATAAATAATGTTTAACGCATTGACGACCGCTTGACACACATAGTGTGTCAAGGCTTGACACACCATGACTCTCATTGAAATGGCTACTAAAATGTGTCAAACCAACTCCGAGACTTTTCTTTCATGCTGGATTTAGATACAACCTCTACTGTTTTTGCCAGCTTTCCAGCGCTAGATGTACTGTAGATGAAATTGTGCGCGATTTTAGTTAAAAAATGTTGGCTGACCCGAGACAGGCTTCGGTCGTCAATGTGTTAATAGGAATCAGGTTTCAATTCACAGAAATTTCAAAAGCTTCGTGTAGTTGCAGTTGCATGTTTTATGACTTGGCCAAAAATCGAGACCTCCGAAAGAAATAATTTTGAAAGCTAAAAACAGCAGACTAGGAAAATTCAAAAATATTACCTTGTAGTACAAGAGTTGCTCTATTTGATCCGTACTTAACTTTTCCTGAAACTTTTGAGAATTATCTAAAAATTTGCCTAACTTTAAGCAGATCAAAACTGACGTGTGGAGAATTTTCGCAGTTATCAAAAAAAGCATACAAGATTATGGTTCAAAAATGTATCACTAGGAAAGGGAAGGAAAAGCTGCATCAAACGCATTTTGAAACTCATTCAGGTCTTTATTGTGCGTGGTTTTATAATGGTTTGAAGAAACGGACTAAACTTTCCGGACAACCTAATATAAAGATCGTTCCTTACTGGCAAATGCGGGGGCATGGGTACTTCTCCATAGAGTCCATGCAAGCGCAAGTTTATCTGCAACCCCAAAGCATGTATGCAAGCTTTCTACATCATTGCTACACTATTTCTTTAGATAGTCGCTGGACTGGGCTTGGAATGACGTGATTTTTTGTTACTGTTGTGTTTTGTATGACTAACACTTTGACGTTTTGTTTCGGAACGCCTCGAGCGTATGAATGAAAATGAAAATAGGCAATGCGAGCGCATTCGCTGAACTCCGGTGGAGTCCGGCGACCTGCTCGATCAATCAGAAGCGTTATCGTATTTGGAGCGAAAGTTGTGTTATTGAGGTTCTGCAAAATGAAAATCACCTTAAAGTTTTCCTTTCCAAGTTCGGGAGAAGGTGAACGACCCAAAGCGATCTCAAGATCCTCATCTTCTCCTTCTCCAACAAGCCAATTGTGAACTGGTCGTGCGTCTAAACAAACTTAAATCAAACAGCCAGAAGGTGTCAACATATACCACACATCAGGGTCCTCATCAAAGCATCTCACGTAGAGCTTACAGGGAACAAGATTTCTTTTTTGGAATCCACCTTTTCTATCTAAGCCTATCAGTCATTCTCTTAAGAAAAGACAAAGCTAAAATCTTTCGCATATTTTCAAGATTTAGATTCAGACTTCACTTTCACTTCATATCAGTTGATTGGCGAGATAACAATTAATCACTCTAGTTACTGAAAGTCCAGCTAAAACACAAAAACCTAAACACAGTCAACGTCAGGCATTCCGTACCTATGTTGTAGGTTTCATTTTTCAAAGAAAGCAGTCATTGTTGAGCATATTTTAGCAAAGGATATCCCAAAATTCTTACGGTACGGTGAAAAACAGGACATCTAGAGAATAACTGTAGATTTCTTAAGAAAGAAAAGTGACTGGACTTTCCATTTTTGATAAATATTAGAATGCATCATTTCTTTCAGACAATATATCTAGATAAGGTCATTCACACACCTAATAATTTGTATACTTGCTGAAATGCAAAAATAATCACTTCGGCAATTTATAAACTTTGAGCATTATCTGCGCAGTGAAACACGTGAGATTATCCAAGGTACACTGCTGCAGTGGGTGAAGGTGCAGTCACAGAACCCACGATGGCTTGCTGGCCTCAACGCTCAAAGTCAGGAAATAGCTCATTAGCAATTTCGAGAACGGATATGTATGTTATTTACTCCTTTGCAAGTGAACGCATGTTTTTTGGCTACTATCCGATAGAGCTCTTTCTCAAACAATCGGTGCCGTAGTCGCGCCGGACAGTCGAAATCTGGCAGAGCCGCGGCGGACCCAATTGACCATTGAACGCGGGGCGAGGGGGCGGTCCCTTCTTGTAGGTCACGGTGACGTCAAAAGGAGGCGAATGGGACCCTTCTCCGGAGGTACGCCATCTCTGCTCCGGAGGTACGCCAGATTTGGAAGAGCCGGAGCACAAAATGGGAGGTCTCCGGAGCGTAAATGGGAGGGCCTCGGAGCAGAAAATGGGAGGTCTCCGGAGCACAATAGGTACGCAGCCAATTTGCTGTGATACGCAGCTTAGCATTTTCGAAAATAGCTGCCCTCGTTTTCGACTTTTTGTTGTTTTTCCGCGTTTCTTTACCGTTCTTTTTCTTTTCCGCGTTGGTCTTCGTCGCGTTGGCGTTTATGTTGTTGTAAGTTCCTCGTTTTCAGTTTTATGTTTCAGATTTTCGTGCGGATGCACTCAATCACCTTCAGTGTTTGGCTCTTTTCGACTTGCTGAGACATCGTTGACTATTAATGGAGTGGTTTTTGTGATTAATTCTGGATTTTCGAAACAAAAAGTATTTAATCCGAGTGAAGTCCAAATGAAATTTTCTTCCCGTTTCAGTCAGAAAGCTTACTTTTTTAGGTGCAGTGGATTTAGCGGTATTTGGAAGCATCTGCTGTTTGGGCCATCGGGAAGGATTTACACGGAAAATACATGCAAATGCAATATTGCTATGCGACCCAGTTTAGGTATGGGTTCGAAAGGCGTCGTATGCAGTGTGCTACGCAATCCGCCGTCCATGATGTCGTTTGAATAATGCGACGTTCTGTGAGGTTAATGTGGGCCTTCCTTTCATACCTGAAACCCGGTCACTGTGTATGACTGGGTTTCAGGTATTGTGTATGAAGGATTCTCTGAACGTGATTGAACAGGTCACTTGTTTCAATTTTCTCTTGGGCACAACCAGTTTCGTTAAACTTCTTCTACTGTTTTCATGAGATTGGCAGCTGAAAAGGGCCGGCCGCTTGCACAGGCGATGGCAGTCTGCGTCTCTCGCGCGAGCCTGCTCTCTGATCATTCCCTAAAACCTTGATTAGACCGCGAAGCCCGCTGCTCTCCAGCCGCCAATCCAATTGAATGGAAGGGAATTTTAGAACCATCTTGACTTGCACTTCAGGCTTTGCACTATGGAAAACTGCATCCCTCACATTACTGATGTGTGCTGAAGTGCGCTAATGTCATTCATTTCAATGACAACATTGTCTGTGAGCGGAGGAAAGTAGCTCAGCAGGAGGTTCATATGAGTCAAATCGCAATTTGTCCTCGGCTCCCGTTGTAATCATTGTTATCGATTCAAACGACCTTCAAATGGCCGATATGCAAGCGTGAGTTCGGGATTGTTTACGCTTCTGCAGAGTTATTCCATTCATTTTTGTTTTTAGTACAACAATCTGGCGGGAATCATTTTTTGTGGGTTGACCAAAATCTTCTCGAACTCCAGCCCTCGATTTGTAAACGGTTGATAAGTTCGAGAGAAAGTTCGAGGCCTAGCCAGACTTTGCACAAAAGCGCCCAAAAGCGCTCAAAAGCGTCCAAACTTCTCTAACCTCTTTTCTCTTCACACGAAAAGGTGAAGAGACATTAGAAAAAACTGGGCGCTTTTGGGCGCTTTTGAGCGAAGTCTGGCCAGGGCCCGGGTCTCAGTCGCAATTGCGTACTGTTACAGGCTGGTCATGGATATGGGATTTTAGGCTTGTATGAAGTCATCAAGTACGCTGTGAATAAATCGCGCGTTTAGAAATTGCTACTCATGGACATAATCTTCAAAGATATAGGTGGGTATGTGTGACACCCAACGCCCTCAACGAGAACTCATCTTGGGCATGTTTTGAATCTAGGAGATTTCGTTTAGGTACTGTTTGTTTTAGAGTTCCAGTCCTATTTCTGAGGGGTTCGACATGATCTGCTATAGCGCTTATTCGCAGCTCTAAAGTCAGTAACAGCGTCCTTGATGAAATAAAACCTGAGGACATTTTGATGTGGTCATCGTTAAGGAAGTAAGTATTGATAGTTTTGAAGTTGCATCCTATTGCCAATCTTTATGGAGATTGGCCTGAATCGCCTCATTTATCTGTTTATTGTGTACTCTTGACAGATAAATGAAGCGATTCAGGTTGATCTCCATAAAGATTAGCAATAAGCCGAAGATCACACGATGATTAGTCAGTATCTCATTTCCTAAACGGTGGACGTTTGCTTTCGCTGTTTTCTCTAGCAGTACACTCAGGGCGAGCGGGGTGGCTTCAATAGCATCATCATTGCTTTTCTTCACTGTTGTGGTGTCTGTCTCATATTCAGGGCCAAGCAAGGGGTGTGGCACACGATCGCAGAAAATCGGGCGTACAGCTCTCAGAAATCTGAAAACTCTCTAGAAAAAGATGGTGTCCTCTAGAATGTCACACTTTGAGGTCCAGAGGTTAAGAGGAGGAAGAAGGGGTCGTTTGAGGGCTTTCATGGGAGGGGGGGGGGAGTTTCGAAAGACTTGTGCCTGACCTCTTTCTCAACTCTGGTAATGCCATCTTAGATATACAGAGTGTCCCAAAAAGGAGTGCACACTGTTTGATCGTTAATAACTCTCTTGCTTTGACGTCTTTCGCCGAGCGTGAGGTACCATTCTTTAGAGCGAGGTTCAACTTAGATTTACAGTATGGAGCGGATTATCAGCCGCTGTTCATTACTGTAGTATTACGGTAGGAACTTTGAGGAGGACTTTGAGCTATTTAAAGCGGTATTTTGCCTCAGAAAGAAAGCCAGACAAGCCAGAAACTCTTAAACTGGGTTAATCGAAGTCGCTGATTCTAAATATGAAAACTGCAAGACAGGACAGTGTTACTTTCATGAGTTATTTCAGATTTAGGGTAACAACTGGTGTTCCAATGTTTGTCAGAAATGTGATTATACCCTAAAATCCGTCATATAAGAGCGGACTTATCTGCAGTTTTGGCAGGAAAATCGATGGAAAAACGCCGCAAAGGGTGTCACAGATAAGTCCGCCTAAATCGTCTCGCAGATACGTCCGTCTGTCCTGAGAGCATGAGCAAGCGCGACCTAGGAGCACAAACGCGCGCGACCGCCCGCGTAGCTTGCCGGTGTAGATTTAAACAAGGCCGCGAAATCGCCTGAAAGGAAGAGCCAAAGTATTCGACAAGCCGTGCACACTAGTTGCTGACAGTTTCGCCGAGGATTTGTCATCATATACGCTGGATAGGTGAGTTCTTTTCTTAGATATAACATTTCTTGTGTGTTGCAATTGATGACGCGATAGTAAGGTAGGATTTTACCCCATTTTCAGGAATGTTAGGCAGGGGAGGTTTATGATATAGGCTAACTACAGTACATGCATCTCCTACAAAGCTTTTTTAGAACGCTGATCGTCGCGCATACTCTGTTCCAAGCAGTAAGTGACGAAGTACAAAGACACAAACGGTTCGTAGTTTTGCAAAACGCTACAGAGAAGTTGTTTTGGATATCAAATGTTCTAGTGCTTCAAACCAAGCCGTGAAAGCGCCTGAAAAGAACCGTCTGAGGACTTGAAGAGCAGTGAAAGCTACTTGCTCAGAATACAGCCGCGTTTTCGTCATCGCGTACGCTAGATAGGTGAGTTCTTTTCCTATATATGACACATGTACGAAATTCAGCGATTTCTGCCGATGAAAAGAATCATAATAGGTTTCATCATTGTATCATTGCAATCATCTCATCTTATCATTCATCTTATCGTTTTGGAGGCGACAATGTTTTCAATACATCTCTCGAACCTGTACAGGCTACAGCCCTCGAACCTGACTGCCTATACTTTTTGCTTCCTCTATTGTTTTCATGGTGTGAACGTAGTCTCTGTTGACCCACGGCTTTTGTAATGCTTTGTTTTTTCACTACGGCTTTTGTCAAATGCTTTAATGAACGGAAGAGTGGCAGTCTAAAAACGCTCAACCCTAGCAAAGCATTAGGCTTCTTTGTTCTTTTTCTCAATTGTTGTTTCATTAAGCCTGTACACCCAAGACAAAAGATAGTGTAGTCAAATTTGATGCCGCCTGCTTTTCGTGTAAAAGAGTAAACCTTTCGATGATCAGCGCAAATTTATAGGACTCTGCGTGATTCCAGTGTGCAATGACCACTAACTCAACGAAGTTC